GTGCGCGTCTGCACTGTTGTATCCTAATAGCTGCTACCTCCATTCCTCTAAATTTGCCACCGTGACCGATGTCGTGTGCGTCTGCACTGTTGTCTGCTCATTGCCCGGGGTCGGCGGCAGGGGGCGGAGCCCTTACAATAATATCAATTTGATCATTTTAGCCACTCTAAACTAAGACCATGAGTTTGTTGTATAGAAAGCACTCCATAGGTCACCTGCTCCCACAACCTACTGCCTACCACCGCCTGCCCATCAAGAGCATCCCTGGCCAGGTCTGCCAACCACGCGGTAGTCATTCATGTCCAAGGTGAAGATCCTGCGAAGCACGAAGCGGCGAAGTGATCAACTCACACCACTTGACCTCACCGAAGATTGTAACCCGCAACCCAATCGATGCGAATGACCCACCTCCCAAGCTATGCTAGTTGCTCAGTTGGAAAGCCCTGAGTATTAAAAAAGTCAAAGCCCAGTGGTCCATTCTTAGGTCACGTTCGACAAGAGCGAAGGCAAAATGGCAACTGCGTCATGGTGTACGCGGAGTGGCTCGCAAGAGGCAAAGCTGAGAGCTTTGCCCCTCAGCATGCTCGCTTCCCTCCGACACTTCAGCCAAAGCGTGGTCCTCCAGGCAGTGCGCTGGCTTGCTAAGTAGTCCTGCAGCATGAGCGTGAGGAGACAAACACCATGTCGATCTGCAGACCAGCAAGTGTGCCCAACCGGTTTAATGGGTTCCTGCTTGAGACAATAAGAGAGATATTTTCCATGATATAGGATCCGTTAGGTATCTCCTGTTCTTGCCAGCCTGCTGCAGAAGGGGACTTGGATCACTTCGTTGTGAGTTCCCTTCGTTCTTCATGACCAACACACATGCTGGTCATCAGTCATGATATCGGAATCGCATGTCCTCTGCATTCGAGACCCAGAGTCCAAAGGCATAGTAGCTATTGGACCTTGAAGGCTGCGCAAAGGAGGCTAGTAGCCCCTTACTCCTAGTAGTAAGGCCAGGAGCCCCTAGTCCCTTTGATCATCCATAATTTATGTATTGTTTTCTGATAGCTCCTTGTTACTATTAGCAATGCCCGTTGTTCCTTGTAGCGTCCTTGCTCCTAGTAGCGATGCCAGGAGCCCCTAGTAGCGTCCTTATTTCATTGGTCGTGGATGTTCGATATAATTGATTGTCGTTGCACCATGCACCCTGAGGCTTCCGCAAGATCGCACCCATCATCTTGATGGCCGCGTGGTTGTACGGGTGTGTTCGGTGTTCACAAGAGACCAGACCTACCCAAGTGCAGCGGAACAGCAGCTCGGGGGATACATCGGTTCGTGCCTGGAAGACGACGAGTTGGAGAGCCCATTTGTCCAGGCGTGGAATAGTATGAATCCTCTCTTGTGCGGGCTTTGGCTTGTCATGGATGTTCTGCATGAACACTACTACGTGGTGTTTTTCATGTGTTCTTTCTCTGCAAGGTCACTGGACAATAACTGGCATGTGCGTCAACTCGGCGTGGTTTCGCGGTGTCACACCTAGCAAGGAGGTCTGTCTAACCTCTCTAAACTCGATTGGCGGATGTTGATGGAAATATAACGACAAACCCACTGAGTGACACCCCACGCCGAAACCCCTTCCAATTCGTTGGTTTGGCCAAAATCTCCCAATCTCTGTCCTCGAGATCCGTGACTTGGCATGGATTTGGGCTGAAGGAAAAGCCCTCCGGAGCCTCCGCCGATCCACGAACAGGTACAGCAGCTGTGGGGACACCGTAACGAGTCACAAAGTGAAGCTGATGAAACCTCATTGAATCAACAATGTATGCTGTATGGTAAATGTCTGTGGGTGAAGCCCTCACATCTCAATTCAGAACAATGATCAGTGGTCGTAGTGTCTTCTTGGACGACCTGTGTCTAGGTGACGCAATCCAAAAATATTTTCTGCTGGCTAATTTGGCACAATTCGAAGGGGTGCTGGCCATATCGTGCCGTCCCTGTCAGACAAAGCACTTTGATGGGCGGGGAGTCACGCGGCAATTCAGTTGGTCGACATCAGAGGCGTCCTATCAGGCTCTGGTGTACTTTGTGCATAGTAACTCCTGGCATTACTACTAGTAGCAAGAAGCTACTAGTAACAAAGGGCATCGCTACTAGCAAGAAGAAGCTATATACTTGTCAGCTGTGCTTAACAGCGCCTCCACATGCACAGAGGCTTCGACGCCAGTCCCCTGAGTTCGGACAAAGAGACTTGAAGGAATGCAATTCAGGACTCTAAGGGTTCGATCAAACAATGCGATGGCAGCATTATCTTTAGCAGACTGCAGACTTTATCAGTAGAACTTCATCAATGCTGCGAGGATTGCCGAAGGTGGTCATGGAACTGCTGGATTTACGTATAGTCCAAAAGGTGAGCATCTTTGTATTGTTTTGCAAAACATCGAAGCACGAGCATGCTGTACTTGACATACGGTCTAATGAAGCCTTACTGGTACACTGAGCAAGCCCAAAGAACCACCAGCCACGTACCACGAGGCCTGCTCAGAACGGAAGAAGATGTTGAGATAGCCTTGCGACATCACCACACCACCTTCCTTAGTAGCGGCACTCTTTGAGTCAGTGTTGCTCTAGCCTCTAGCCATAAGGTCTTTCGCCCCTATATATATAGTAACATTTGAGCACCTAAGGCAAGCAGTTACCTAGCCAGAAAGCCAAACAAGGACCTAACAGACCCTGTTGTTTCCAAAGTACCTGGCTGTCTGAATGGCAATGACAAACTGGAAAATGAGTCTGCAATGCGCTGGCTTGATTCTTGATACACATCAAATTGATACACAGGAAACAAAACTGGCTTGAACAATTTCGGTGTGTGATAGTGAGGAGCCCACAGAGTACATGTAATTTGATGGCACGATCAAGGCATCCTGGATCTTTCCCATCACAGCCTCAGCCAGCTAGTTCCATCCTTTTCAGGACAGCCGTCCCCAAGTTTCATGTCTGCGTGTTGAACTAACTACATTCCGAAGGGACAAGGTGACAAGGTTCTCAGAGGAAAAATTGGCGATTGCCTCCTTCAAAGCTGCGACAATCCTCTCCAGACCGATTGAGCCCCAGACAGTGTTGGAGCTGAAGTTCTGCACGATCGTGTTGAATATTACCTGAGCCGGAAACTGCACTGAACAGTTTGGGAGAGGAAATCAGCGCAGCCAAAGGTTGGTGTTCCGGCATCAAAGTCCCACCTACTTGGTGACTCTGCTCCGAAACATCGCCAAGGTCACAGGAGGAAAGGTGACAAAGTACTGGTGATAGCCTTTGCTTGTCATCGTGACCTTCGGAAGGGCGAGTGGAGGTGAGCAGAAGCCTCCGAATCCGCACCACTGCACAGTGTGAGTTCGTTTCTCCCCAACAATTGTTTCTAATAGCACACATTGTTCCTAGTAGTACGGCCAGGAGCCCCTAGTAGCATCCTTGTTACTAGTAGCGATGCCAGGAGCCCCTAGTGACCGTCTTTTGCTTGTAGTTAAGGAGCCATCAGGTTTGGCCAACATCACCCTACCCTCACCTGCCAGCGGTTGTTGGCATCCGTGCGCTTCAACGCATCCTCGGGGTTATTGGCCGTTACCTGCACACAGGGAGCATTGTGGGGAAGGCGGCAGCTGACGTTGACATGATTACTGAAGATCAATCCAAACTATATTGTCCCGAAGCAATAAAAGTTTTAAGTCATCCACATTCCCCAAAGACCAACTCAAGCTTAACCTTTGAACTGGGGCCGCAGCCCTGATGTACAAAGAGCTGCCAGCATAGACCACAGCATTCTGGCGAAGGGTAAAGACCTCAGCATGAACTGCGTGGAGGTTCTCCAGATTCTCTCGCTTCTTTCAGAAAAGCTGATCAAACATTTAGCAAGTTCCAACCGAACAAGTCCTGTTGTGCAGTAATAGAGATATACGGCTTTGTCGCTTGAAGGTGAGTCATTCATTCGGGATTATAAGAAGAGCTTCCCAACTGAGCCTTCTCAAAGAAGTCAACCACGGAGTCCAAGAAAAATCACCAGGATGAGGAAACCAGGTTGGAGGCCATTGCTATTAGGTTGGAGGAACTCAAGAATAGTAACTGATAACCATCCTGCATCAGACATCACCGACCCACACATCTTCTCCAGCTCGGTCTGGGCCAGAACTCGGGCTCCCAACGCACGTGTTCTCCGACACTGACCAGCCCCTGAAGGGTCAGAGTGTCTCGACCCAAAAATGTTGGACTCTTCCACTGAAACCCTGTGTTCAACACTGTGTTCACTGCACCAAATGCAACTGTCTGTAAATAAATTTAGAAGTTCACCACTTGACCCCACGAGCATGGAACTCGACTTATGCCCTGGGCGTTGGTCACTGCTGGCACTTGTCCATGATGTACAATATGGTGTTTTGGTTTAATTTAAGAAGGGAGGAACTCCTGCTGCTTGTTCTTTACTCTGAGTCTTAGGATCTTCAATGTGAACCAAACAGTTCTCCGTCAATCTCTAGGATGCTCCTTGCAATATCGTTCAATCGGCAATGTTCAGCCCCTAATTCCACAGCAAAAAGGTCGGCTCAGAAAGATGCAATTTTCCTCAATGCTGCAAACTTTTGAACCAAGAAGATCAAACACCAGCCCGGCCCCGCCCATCCTGCTCGCGCCTGGTCCCGCCACCCTCATCCAGTGATCCCGTGCCCTGCGGAATCTCATCCATGAAGACGCCCAAAGTGTCCTGCAGGGAGTGGAATAATAAACCAAACGTGTGAGGAGCCGATACTTAGTGTGTCCATGAACCCCATGACCACATATCGACTTCTGATCAATCAGCATGATGATTGAATATCTTTCTGGAATGACAAATTTTGAGAAGACGAGGTGCTAGAACATAACCAACCAAGAGGACTTCACGTTTTGACCCCGAGTGGAGATAAGTTCCAAGCGGCCAAACATGTTGGGCGAAAACACCCATCTTGCAGTGTGGGACGAAAGCAACCTTATGCGGAATCTAGATATGTACTAGACACTTGCTGCGGTGTTGGAAGTTTCATAAACCTTATCACGTAGAGAGTCTTCTTGCCTCTGAGCTTGTGGTACTCCTGCTGTCATCTCCTGTCTGTGCCTTGCTGCATCCAAATTTGCAAGTTGTTTAACATTGAACACTGCAAATTTGTGGTTCTGGGACGGGGCACCAAAATCACACGCTGCCCCTTAGCCCGCTTTCCTCTGCTCTCCATGGCGACTCGCCGTTGATGTCTGGCGTTCGCACCTGAGAGGTTTGGGAACTTGGTCAACGACCTCCCACAAAACAAGTGACGTCAAGCTCTTGTACACCATGCATAAACAAAGCTTCCTAATATATATATATAGTTATATGTATATATGATGCTTCGTTCCAAAGTCTTGGAAGTCTGAGTGTTGTACGCATTCGTAGCCGATCGGAAGGGTCAGAATAAGCTGGGCCTGTCCAAACAAGTGTTATATACAAATTGCAAACACAGTTTGCAGCATCCTTTACTGCTAGTTCTTGCCCTGGATTCTACGTCCAACCGTGCACTCAAGCACTCAGAAAGGGAAAATGGCTTTGGGGTGCTTTGGTAAACTATGGCCCAAGAACTTTCACGCTGAGCAGCATCTGCAGTTTGGACAGCTGCAAAGAGCGTCGCTGGCAGCACAATGCTGGCGTACAGCACGTTCTGTTTGTCCTGCCCAACTGTGTGCCACCTGAACCATCGCTATGCTAGAGCCCTCAACACTGCTTCCAATAGCAATAAACGAGAATGGCCCTTCTTTCCACCCCTTCAATCCGACAATCACCCACAGTCCCCGCGGTAGGGTCGCTGGTCACCATCCCCATAGAATTCCACCAGCTTGCCCACACCAACCTGAGTGCCAACCTACGCGATGTTTGATGTGCAGCACAGCATGGAAAAATGGAAAAGCAGCGCCAAGGTATATAATGCGCGAAGCTTCGTTTCTAAGAGAGCCGAGTGCACGGGGCTCCGGTAAGCAAACATCTGATCCACGTATTTCCATGTTTGCTTGCAAAACATAAAGCACAACACCAAGTGTCATCAAGAGTTCAGCTTTTTCTCTCAACGCGAAAGGCTGGCTTTCTTGGCACTGCGGTTGTGTTTTACGTTTTGATCAGGAAGTCCTTTCATCTGGTCGCCAATGATAAGGCAGTGGCACCCTGGTTCGGCATCTTGTAGATGTAGTCTCCAGAAGATTCCGTGTAGTGCGGCTTCGTGTCATCAGGCTGGCCAGCGGTTGGCGCTACGAAGCACTTCTGCAACCCACCCCGTCTGCAACCCACCCCGTCTCCTGATTGAATCTTAGGCCAAAACTTACACGAGACTGCGAGTGGCTGGTGGATGTCCAAACTTCTTTGCAGGACATGGTAGGGTGTCAATTGGACAGCCAATCTGATTATATAACAGTTTGTGGCACAAAACTTCAATGAAGGGGCAGTTGTAGAACCCGGAGCACACCAACTATTTGGCGCTACGTATCTTGCAAAGTTTCCAAAAAGTAGGGTCATTGTAGGTTGGAGGCCATCGCTCTTAGGTTGGAAATTGCTAGGATGGAGCTCCGGTCCCCGGTGGAGTCGTGCCAAACCCGGCTCCGCCTTGGAGATCTGTGCTGCTAGGCGTGTGGAGAAAAAGCCTGGGCATTGCTTCGACTGTGAAAAGAGTTAAGCCTGAGCAAAAGGTTTTGATTTCATTGATTGTATTTGCACATGTTCTGGAGGGAACTCCAACCAATTTCATCAAAGTCTGTGGAATGTGCCTTTCATAGAGGTCGTTGCTCAACAACACTTAGCATCACTCCAAAAGGGGCGACGGCGGAGGAAGAACGGCAACAAGTTCGCTCGGCCCACACGATGTCTGCCATGCTAGATATCTTGGTGTATATCAGTGTACATCTAACTAAAATCGTACCAGTTTCTTCCGCAGAAAAAGTACTGAGCAACAATCAAAAGATTGCAGTTCAATCTTCTTGCTGTCGAGAGCACTTGCAGCAGCTTCTGGTTGGAAAACTAGCTTGCTTGCTGGTAGCAGGACCCTTCCCTCTTATGTCGGACTGATTGCAAACCCTATAATATCCACGCATGCAAAAAAAATCAATCGGACACTTAGCTTAGCTGGCAGGTAGTTACGAACAAGGAGGATTTGGCCCCCCCTTCCTCATTGTTGGTCCATTTCGATTGAAAATGGTCTCCGTTTACATTTCTGATCCTTTGTAGCTCGATTCTCTCCGATCCCAGGACTGTGACATCATGGACTACCCGACCTCACATCAGCGGCTCTTTTTGGGGGCCTTATCTCGTTCACAAGCGTGAATCCTCATGTTGGACAAACAAAAAGTGTATATGGACTACTTTGGGAAGCGCAAAAGAAGGTGGTTCCTCAGTTGCTCACATCTATTCCCTATTGCCCTATTGCACCTCCGTCTTATGTCAAGTCACCCCCCTGCGGCAGCACCAGGTCGGGGAAGACTAAGGTGTGGCTCACAAACTGCGGTGTCACGAAGCACGGAGCAGAAGGGGGGAAATCGTCTCCAGGTGAGTGCTTCTCCAGTGTTGTTTCCTCTGCGCATCCAAAAGAGCGACGACTTTGTGGCCCGTACTCGGCCAATATTCATGCCCGGCCCAAACAAACAGAGAACTCTGTTCACCAAACAAAAATAGAATTCTGAGAGGTAGCCTGCCGATGCTAATATACACTGGCCATGGCAGAAAGCCCTTCCAGCACTTTACGTGAGGCAAAAATTTGCACAACCTGTGCTGGACAAGTGCTGTTGTGGGTGATCTGCTAAGTTAAGTTTCCCTAAAAATCTAGGAACCAAATCATTACTGTAGTGCGAGCGCTTCTTCAAGAAAGCTCCCCCCGCCGCCTTTAGGGCGGTATCCTGATCTATCCTGCGTCCTGCCTAGACTAGGGCCTAGGGCCTAGACGCGAACTTGTAGCTAGTAGCTTAAATAGGCGCCTACTTAATTGAGTAGGGAGGGGGGTGGAGCGGGCAAAAAAGAGGTCCCCAAGAAGAAGCGGTGATGATAGTAAACTCCTGGGTCCACGCCTCGGTGATGGTAGCCATGGCTGATGGAAGCACAATGCGGAGATAGTTCTGGTGGAAGTTGGGGATGATGGCCTCGGAAGCACCGTGCAGAATTCCCAGTCACCTCATCAATGAGTTTCTGTTCAGGTTGAGATGACAGGTAGATGGGCAGAGATTGTGAAAGGCGTCCGTGCGTTTTGTTTTGTTGCACAGAACATCCTGTTGCTGATTCGTCTGGCAAGTAGACTCCGAAGGAGCCAATGCCACTAAGTGATCGACATCACCCTTGCAGTCTTGCACCGCACCGCAAGGCGCAGAAACCTGGAGAATGCTTGGCACAGAGTCTTGGCGCAAGTTCGTCCAATCTTGTCCAAGATCTGTGCTGTTTGATGCTGTTTGCGTACTTTACAGGTGCTGCAACGTCATCACAAACTCAGCTTCAGATGGTACGATAACAACCATAGATAGACGACTTGCGCCTTCTTGAGAAGAGATGTTTGAGTGCAACCAACCTCCTCAAGTTCCCCAAAAAGCATTCAGCTGCGAGGTGTCAACCTCCATCTACCAACCTAGAATCTGCAGGCCTGGTCATGTGGAATGCAGGCCACAGTGCAGGCATTGGCTACATTCCACTGCGTCAAAGGCCAAAGGAAGATCCGCAGGACAGCGGACCTCAAGGAAGGGAAGATCCAAGTTGATTTATGCCTGCTGGAGTTTTGTTCAAGAGACCAAAAAGCTTGGGATGAGTATACTAAACCTCGATTATCCACACAGCACGCAGCATCCCAAGACTATAGGATACAACAGTGCAAACTCATAGAGCAAAAGCTCTCCCATCTTCTGAAAGGACTGTTTGTCTGTTTGATGTTCCCTGCATCAAATCTGCTGAAAAAGGACAGCCGATGCATCCAGAAGATGTTCTTAACTGTTCTTTCTGGGATGTTCACCTGAAAAGCTGTCGATTGCACGACGAAACTCGGTCAGACCGTGGTCTACTCCAGTCGACCAAATGCTCTGAGCCCCAAGACGCTGAGATGCCTCCGCCCAAGGGATCACCCTTCAATGCCAAATGAAGCTCCTTGGAACGTACAACGACTCCAAAGCACCAGGTGCGTTGCAGTTGCCACCGGACATCGATGGAATATGCTAGGCCCGCATGACATAGGGAGCGGTGCTTGCCTTTTGGGCCTTTTGGGCCTTTATGGTGCAGTCTTTGTGCTGGTGTTGTTTCCTCGGCCTCGGGCTGTTGCAGGTTCCTCTGCGTTGGTGGCTTGTAGGTTGCAAGATGTTACAAATTGCCGTGTAAGCATAGGTTTGTTCAGTGGTTGCTGCGCTTCAAGCGATGCTCATGATTCTCGCATCCACTTCTTTATTGTTTCAATCAGCGCATTGGTCAAGCCGCCAGAAAGCAATGGACGAAGACGTTCGCGTTCATCACTATGGACTAATGGTGGATGCAATACAGTTTTTTGTCAAAGCAAGTAGTCAAAAAGCAAGACAGCAGTTCACAGATTGCACAGCCCTACAAATGGTCTGTAGTGTATGCTAAACCGGAACCACCACTAAAGCTGCAAGATGAGCCCCACATCTGAGCTTCGTGCAACACCACCTTTCAGCTCTAGCATCCTCAGGCAGCTTGGTTGAATACGACGACCACGCCTTTCCACAACTGTTGAAGTAACCGCGGCCTGAATAAAATCTCGAAGGTCGCATATTGTTAATGGTAACATCGAATTCTAGAGAAAGACATGTCAAAAGACACCAAATCGAAGGAATGCATACCGGTAGCATTTTATCCCGACTCTCATCAAACACCCAAAATCACAAGGACCATTTATCGAGCATCGGGGCGACAGCCCACTCTACAATCTCTACGCAGGAACAAATCGTGTGCAGGATGGTGTAGCCATTTCTTGCAGGACTACCGATGTGCAACGCTTTTAGGTTGGAGGCCATCGCTAGTAGGTTGGAGCCCATTGCTAGTAGGGTGGAGGCCATCGCTACTAGAAACAAAAAGAAGAAGAGGAGGCCATCGCCCAATCACATTGACTTCCCATCTGAGGATCTCTGTGCCATCGCCGCTGGAGATCTTCACCCCTTCGGTCTCTGCGAACTTCACCCCCTGGGAGCCGTAGGCGGCGTCCTGCGAGCACAACAGAGAGCGCGAGCGGAACGCCGAACGCTTCTTATTAGCGATGCCAGGAGACCCTAGTAGCGTCCTTGCTCCTAGTAGCAGCGCAGCTTAGGAGGTTACTGCGATGCATCTTGAAGATTGGACTGATTGGACCAGTACCTTCCAGCTCAGGGCTCAGGCGTCACCCCTCCTGTGGGGATCGATACAAAGGTGCAATCCCTCTTTCCAGAGCCAGGTAAGGATGGAGGTCCACATCCTCAGCACCATCAGCACTGGCTCGTGATATGGTGTGGGTTTGTAACCTTGTAATAACGCTGTTCCTTGTTTTCAGACCAAAACAGCAGCCAAGTAGGCTGGTGGCTGGCGGCTCGAGCGGGTCATGATTCCACATCTGAGGTCTTCACGTCCGTGGTGAAAATGTGAACATACTCGCCATTGCGAACAGCCTTCAGCGATCACGTGGTCCAAACACGAGATAAGTAACAAATTTGTGCAGGAATTCCGCAGGAGCATGTGTGTCTGAGTATCTACCACTCAACAAAGTTGGAAAGCTCTGTTCCGCTATTTCTGCAAAGGTCGAATTGATTAGAAACCAACTAGCATTAGCTCCTCAGCTGCCTTCGATCAAGTCCACAAACCAAAAAGCCTTTTCAACTTGTTTAGGAGCAACAGATCTCACCCGGCCCCATGCCCAAGGGGCCTCGTCCATAGCAACTCCGCTCAGCACCAACTGACGATGCAGTGCTGTGGAAAAGTAGAAAGGTATGTCATCATCACAAGGTGGAGAGTGTCCATCTGAAAGCCAAACTGCAACATTGTACAAGCGAACCTTGTCAATTCTAGTCTTTGCTCATGTTGCCGTGTATGTCATCTAGGCGAAACTATGCTGAGAAACATACAACACGTCTCGCGACCAGGTTTACCAAAATTACACCCGCATAGACCCCAGATAGCCATAGGCAGAATCCAGCAAAAACATCAAGCTCTGTTGACTGTTGACATGCGGCTGGCTGGAACTACAATGTACATGCAGCCATCCTCCACACAGTGGGCACAGCCAGCTCACAGCACCGGCACCAGCACCAACACCCTGTCTCCAAAGCGCACAGCCAGCTCAGTCCTAGTTGAAGTAAGGCCCAGCTATCGCTCTCTGGGAAATATCTAGGAAGGAACCAAATCATTGAGGCTCAGGCTCAGCTACTTCTACTACTTGCCGCTTACTACCAGCTACTTAATGAAAAAGAACACGACGGCCTAAAAAATCTTAGGGTGAGAACGCCGAGCCCGTCCACAGCTTGGACAGAGTGGCCATAGGAAACAGCACGCTGCCACCCACAAGTCACTGGAATGGTACTACCCGAGTCCGCGCCTGGTAAAACTTCCCGGGTGCCAAGCCGTTTTTTCGACCAAACAGAATGTTGAGCTCCTTGCAGCTAGTGCGCAAAAAGTGTGTCCACCAAACTCGTTGGTACTATACAGTTGTACTAGAGGAACAACAACTACCTGCTGATTGGACCAACTCCTAATCTGCAAATGCACTCTCAAATATGTATATAATGCCCTTTGCAGCCGGTGTCCTGTGTCTGCCCATAGGTTCGATAGTAGCAGCCTGCATCCCAAACGCTGCTGGAAGACAGTTTGGAAGTGAAAACAAAAGCCCAAGGCCCAAGATTGCTCTGAGGTTGGAGGCCATTGCTCTTAGGTTGAAGGCTCACGGCCACCTCGGGGCATCGGGAAGCCATTGATCTCGTCGGAGGACCAGACCTCTCTGAAGAGCTTCCCGCAAATGTACCTTTGTGCAGGCTGACCCAAAGCCCAGCCTACCAAGCACACCGGTTTCCAAAGAATGCACCTATCAAGGTAACGCCGTTCCTGGAGAACATCTTGACATCGGTGCGGCTGGGCGCACTGCCTTGCCTCGTTCAACTCGTCTTCTCCCTGGCAAATATCGAATTCCAGAACAGCAAATGGCAAAAGGAATCTGAAGGAAATTGAATCTAGGAGCAAGGACGCTACCAGGGGCTCCTGGCATCGCTACTAGGAACAAGAACGCTACTAGGGGCTCCTGGCCTTACTAATAAGAGCAAGGACGCTACTAGTAGCTTGTTACTAATAGTAAGGCCAGGAGCCCCTAGTAGCGTCCTTGCTACTAGTAGCATCGATTTCTTGGACCTTCCCAGCTTTGGTGGTGACCAAACGTGCAACCACGCCTGTGGGACCTACGGGAGGACAAGTATGCATGGTCAAAGCCTTCGTCGCACGTCAGTGAACCAAAACACCCCCACCTGATTTTCTTCGATTGCTGCCCCATCAGTGAAAGTGGCCTTCAAAGCCACCGTCCTGCAAGACAGGCCACTGTCCCTTCAAGTTCTGGGAGACTCTACCCACTAATTCAATTGGTTCTGCACTACTAATTTGGTTTTCAACCTACCTATAGACTGATCCCACAAAGCCCAGGGCTTGCCCACCGCTGAATTGTATCTATAGAGTCGTAGAGAAAACTAACAGCCACCACGAATGCTGTCCCATGTCAGACTTGCACACTCTTCTAGGTCCCAGACTTTGTCCAGCCAATGAGTCTTTCCGAAAGGAGAGACAGAGAGACGTGAGGATGGAGGTAACTCAACAGACTGCCCTTGCTCTGAGCCCTTGCTCGAGACCTCAATCAACGAAAAGCTTGGGCAGGTCCTGCACCCAACCCCCATTGTGTATGCGGTCCTCACAAAGTAGATCCTCAAGCGCATCCGGCCCTTGGTCAAGAGACACACTACAAGCCAGGTTCGGTCAAGCAAGAATCAATCCTTGACCTATTGGGCGAGACTGGATCCACAGCAAAACCCGCCACTCTTTTGTCTCCTCAGTGCCATTTCTTGATTTAGTGAAGGCCTCTGCAACTGACAAATGCTTTGGTACCTGATACCTAAGCCGTAACTTTTGGATAAAGACCATCAGGCTAACCACACACTCTCCCATCACCCACCCCAGCCTGAAGTGAACTGTAGCGCTTACCGGTCTCTGCAGTAGCAGTCCTGGCCACTATTGTAGGTTGTCACTCTGAGTTCTTTTTGTGTATAGCAAATGCTAAACTTATGTCCGTTTCTTTGCATTTCAATGTGTCTTAATGTCGCTGTCACCGGCGATACGAACCCCCAATTTTGCACAAGAAGGGATTGTTAAAGTCTCCAAGCAGCCCTGATTCAAAAAAAGCTGCAAAATAATCAGCACAAAAAAAATATTCACCTGAAGGAGATGATCATGGGAGCGTAGGGTGTTTGCTGATTCTTCACCAAAGAGGTCAGACCTCGGAGTCACATGGGCCATGCAAGGAACAAATTCAGAACATCACCTGGGGTTTTGCAATAAGGCCACAATCGCAGATAAAGAAAACAAACGCATCCAGAGTGTAATTTCAGCTGCTTACCAAGCATTGCGAACAACAACAGAACAACACCGGCATGTCCTTTCAATTTCTCCAGCCAGATCTATTACCACTGTGCTCCCAGCTCACCAAGCAATCGCTCATGGAGTTGGGATCCAGAAGTGTCAAAGTACCCACCTGGCACAAACAAGTTTAATATACATAAATGGTCGTGGGCAGATAAAATGATGAATTGGCGTCGATCAAAGACTAAAACAATGTAAAGGCCCTGAAATAGAGTTAGTGGAGGGGCCCTTACCTTCATGTTTCATTTATTTCTTCTAATCACTTGATGACCAAGCCACGCGAGATTCCCAGGCCCAAGTTCCCCCTTTGCCTGGGCAACATGGCGTGGCATAGGGCCAGATGCACCCATGGCAGGGGTGTATTTCCAGCAAACCTTCATGTTGATCCTGGCAAATAAAAAGCTCTGACATGTGCAAGAACATCTAACACCAGTCTAAATTTTCGTGAAATGTACGTTCATCCTCGAAAACTTATGAAAAGCAGCACAATTTCAGATTTCAGGATGCCAAGCATGTCGTGTTCCACCGCTCTTTCTCACCCATGATCTCTTCCCTGCTGATGGCCTGCACAGCGCAGGCAACCAGTTGACATCTAGGGCGAAGGGTTCTACACTCTGGAATCTCTTTTTGGGAAATGGTAAACCAAAGCACAGGTCACCAGATTTACGAGTACCAAGCCTGGAAGTGACCCAACAGGCAGTTACGTGTCAAAACCCTATGGTTGGCCTCCCGACTTCATTCGTTTGGCAAACTCTAGCCGCTTAAGCCCGAATCCGTGTCAAACGGCCCAACACACATGACTCACGCTAAGCATGCAAGTTGCTTCCAAGCAGGAACCCCTCACAAGTCTGAGACCAAAATGATCTGCTTAAGTGACTCCAAGACACGGGGCAAATCTATTTCTGTTTCTGCACCATCCATCTGAGAGACAGCACAAACAGGCATCTTGAGCTAGAAGATTTGTTGGGACAGTGCGCAGGTGACAAGCGCAAGCGGCTCCAAGCCGATGTACTACGGTGTGAGAACTAGATTGCTTTCTTCGGAGACATAGCTTATCCACACCTGACAAACTAGCAACCCTGCACCCCTGTGTCCAGCTGGCTTTTGGCAGAAAGAATAATTCAAGTCGCTTCGCGACAATAACCGCCCGCACCAGCTGTTTTCAGAGACAGTGAGCACCAGACACACTTTATGATGCCGGATATGAAATTCCGTTCCCAAACAAAAAATGCAATCATCCGCCCAGACGGAGCTATAGAAGCCGCGTGAATGAAAACAACAGCACCTTCGGTGCTGGCGCATTTAGGGAGTGACGATGCTGTGGTGATCACATGTCCCCTGACCCAAGAAGTTGCTCAAGAGCGATACCACAGGGGTCATCATACGTTGTTGTCACATAAAACACATTTCATGCTGTCCTGAGCCGGAGGTTTGGGGAAAGGGAAGTCAATGATGGTGAATGGTGGCTTGAAGGCTTATTGCGTGCAAGTTCAAGAAAGCACTTGTCGCACAAGGCCAGCCTTGCTGTGTCTTTGCCATCGTCCTCGGCGATTTTCGAGGTACAACACCGAGAACCTTGGCGGCTGGAGCAGCAAAAACCTTCCATCCCTGCTGTGTGCCAGGCCAGCGGTTCTCGCAGCATTTGACCAAGTGGTGCAGTGGTGCAAGAATACACATGGAATCTACAAAAAAGAAATAAACCATTCCTGACTTGGCCAAGTCCCAGGGTGGGCCGAGTAACATGCACCCAAAAAGCTACCAACACAACACGAATCTTGTTGAGCAATGGAATTCACAGGTGCGTTTATATAAATGTTGCCAGAAATTGTTGCAAGGCACTGGTTTTGAGAGGAAAGCTTTCTGTATAACGAGGTATGGAACCCTGTTGGATGAACGGGTTTGGAAACAAGCAGAAAACGAGTAAACGAGACAAAATGGTGTGTGGGAGTACAGTACATCTTGTACTTTCTGTTGACCCTGTTATTTGATGATCGACCTCGCTCGAGCGCCTTTTTGCAACATGCTCAGCAGTTTGGAGGGCCTCGACCTCGCAGTGCTTTCATTTGGACCCATGACCCACCGTTTTGAGAGTCAGACCAAATCAAAAGGTCATACGAGTCCAGAAAGTCTAATCAGGTCGGGAAAATCTTCAAGATGTCTGCAGGTCCCGGCTGGATGGATACGGACAGCGTTCCAAAGGTCCCAGGCTCTTTCCTTGGACCTGGCGAAAACGAGCTGACCGACTGAGGACACCACCTGACTTTTCCAGCATATCCCAAGCGCTGCGGGTCGATCCATTGTCAAGCGCTCATTATCTACCGACAGCTCCACCAGGCTGCTCAAGGAGCATGAGCCCATGGCCTATTGGGGCCACTTAAAGAACCACTCAGGAGAGTGTAGAATCCTGCAAAAAGACCCCACCTTATTTATGGGGGTCCACCCATACCGTGCTTGGAAGCATCAGAAACCCGAAGAGATTGAAATTAATTGAAATTATCATTCAGCGGCATGCCTTGGCCCCTCGATCTGTCAGCAAATCCAGAATCTTCTCATAGGTCCTGGGCTGTTTTCGGATGCTTGAGATCGTCTTGTTACTTGTTTATAAAAGCAGCCTGTCCACTCAAGGCTCAACAATAATAGGGCGCAAGTGGTCATGAATCTGAATGAGTGAGTCCTCTTGCTAGTTGACCCTGCAAGAACACTACAAGAATCCTTTCCCCATCAAGCTCTATACATATATATATAAGGAACCTGAAGCATAGAATTGTATAGACCTCCACTCAATTGAGAAAGCTGATGGTGCTCCCTAACCAATAGAGAAGAGTATGCTCAAAAAGCTCAAAGGATAAGAAAGGATAATGTTAACCTTTACGGTCAATCATTTGGAGGTGTCAGATTCTCGTGAGAACGATATTAAACAATTGAGCGTCCGAGACACCCTCCAAACAGATTTCATGATTACGCCACCCTGCTGTGGTAGCGGAGCTCAGAGACCCGAGCTGAAGTGGTCCAGGTCAACGTATGGTCGCTAGAGAAGGCAAGGCAACGGAAGGTGTTGGTGATCTGTCTGTCCAGGGAAGTTGTTTGTGTGGTTTGAGACTGTGTGTATGAGATATGACTGATGCGGTAGGTTCTGAGAGGGCGAGAGAGAGAGAGAGAGGTCACCTACGAGTAGGCAGAGAGCAAAGCATTTCACAATAGGGCCCCCAAGCGTCCAATAGTCAGACAGGAATGGAGGAAGGTAGAGGTGGAAAAGGTGCAAAAGGAAAACGAGCTTGCTTCGCAACCTTTCCACCCAAGCCAGCAAACACCACTTCTGCCACACCACCAAGCGTCGCGTAGCGCTCCCCAAGGTAACTTAGCCCTGCCAGAGCCCAGTCGTAGGGTGTGGCCAAGGCTTCGTCTGGCAAGGTCAGATCCGCGCCCAACGTCGCAAGGACTTCCACTACCTGCAAACAAAGAAGTCTTTTGGCAAAAAGCACTTCCAACATCCTGCACTTCGAAAGGGGATGTTGGGATTCAATTGGGGGCCTTTGTCTCTCAGCGAGGAAAAATAGAAAGAAAGGTCGTCTAAAACAAAAATGATTTGCACGGTAAAAAGAAAAGGAGGACCTTGAGAATTCTTGCTTCTAGGAGTTCCAAACCCTGATGATTCCTTCACCTCTGATCAACTGCTCCAGCCAACGACGCCTCAAGTTGTCCTTTCTGGCAAGCCAGGCTCAACGGAGTTCGCCATTGAACGTCTTGGGCGTTGATATCCTGTCAAGGCGATGCACCAAATGATTTTCTGTGCACTCCAAAACATACTGCTGTACAACACCGAGTCACAAAAACCGGTTTCATGGCCTTGAAGAGTCCAAATTTTATCCCATATTAAGAGCAGGACAAGGATGTTTCACCGCAATGGTCCAATTCAAGAACATGGGACTCTTGGGAAAAGGCCTCTGGAAGCACTCTCGCTTGGAAGGAACACAATAGACGACCCACACCACCAGTAATTTCAATGAGTTTATGATACTGTAGTGGCTTGATGTGTTCTGAATGTGGGCGTGTGTGTGTGTGTGTGTGTGTTTGTGTGTGTCAATTCCTGTGCCAAAGGAACATGACCACAGTGATTTTCGTTCTAATTCAAGCTTTGCACTCAATAGGCAGGGGGATGCCACACACGTGAAGAGAGGGCATCTAACAAGCAGGTTCTTCAGGTTGTGCTGATATCAGCAAGGACGCTTGCTGACGTACCTGCATTAAGTTAAAAGTTCTGGTTGTGATGTTCCCAAGCTGTCACCCTCATTCTCCCTGTAAAGTGCTAATGCGTCTTTGTTCAAACATTCCTTTCTGCTGATGAATCACCTTTCCATTCTGCAAGTCAAGGTCTAGCTCTCAGTAACGTAAAGTGCTAGCTTCACGTGGATGTCGCAACTGACAGAGCTCTTGCGAGCAATGATCTAAGCCACTGCGGTATGCTGTGTGACCCCATCGAGGGCGCGTTGAGCATAGACCTTTAAGGGGGCTTCCCACAGGAATCTCATTTCAGCTTGCTTCCCACTGACCACTCGTTCTTGCTTGAGATCGCTGATTGAATGCCGCAGGGCTCACTGACAACATCCACGCCGCTAAGCATTCATAGGATTCATGCCATGCAGCTAAGTATGCATTTGCTGTCTTGCTTTCCTTCTTTAGGGCTCTCTTCGTTTTCTAAACCTGTCTTCGCTTCTAAAGGCTTTGAATGTGTAATTCAAGCCTTTTAGTCAAGAGTGCGCCGGATTCGGCTTACTGGTCAAGTGCCGTCGGGCCCGAGCCTGTCAACCCCCCCGACACACACCCCTGCACCCCCTTTCTCTCCGTGCTTTCTTTCGTTTGCTTGGTCTTTTCTTCAGGCTTGTTACGTTGTCGCTTAGGCTCGTTTAGTCATTGCACACCCTTTTCCCCCCCCGCTCTCTTTCTCGGCTTTTCTTCGTTCTAGAGGCTTTCTAGGTCCGTAACCAGGTTTTTCAGTCAAGTGTCCGCCACTTTCCCGCTTGAGCGCCAAATTCGGCGGCGTGTGTGTGTGTGTGTGTGTGTTTGTCAATTCCTGTGCCAAAGGAACATGACCACAGTGATTTTCGTTCTAATTCAAGCTTTGCACTCAATAGGCAGGGGGATGCCCCACACGTGAAGAGAGGGGATCTAACAAACAGGCTCTTCAGGTTGTGCTGATATCAGCAAGGACGCTTGCTGACGTACCTGCACTAATTTAAAAGTTCCGGTTGTGATGCTCCCAAGCTGTCACCCTCATTCTCCCTGTAAAGTGCTAATGCGTCTTTGTTCAAACATTATTTTCTGCTGATGAATCACCTTTCTGTTCTGCAAGTCAAGGTCTAGCTCTCAGTAACGTAAAGTGCTAGCTTCACGTGGATGTCGCAACTGACAGAGCTCTTGCGAGCAATGATCTACGCATATCCATAAGTGTGTGTGTGTGTGTCGGCGGGAGACTGTTGGCATTCTTGTATACTGAGTATATTATTGATCCCACTCCCCCTCGCGATGCACACACACAGGACTGGACCGTCAAGCATTCTCCACATCTGCAGCTCGAACTTGCCACCCAGGCACTGCTTGTTGTTCCAAGAGGAAGTCCACCACCTCTGCATGGCCCTCTTTGGCGGCCAAATGCAAAGGCTGGGACCTCAACCTGCAGGTGCCGTGGGTGCACTGGAGGTGATGAGTCCACAGTGAGCTCCCTGGCCTACCACTGGGCTGGTGGATATCTGCCTTCCTTTCCAGCAGCAGCTGCAGGACTCCTTTTGTCAGGTCTCACACTGAACGCATGCCACTTGCTCTGCTTCTTTGAAAACATCTGAAGACACGTATCCATTCCTTGAACTGCGAAGTCTGCTCGACTATGTCAAAACGCAAACTAAACCTGGAAGAATGCCTCCGCAAAGGGGCGGAGCAGAGTTTTTTTGGCTGCTCAACACAATTCTGCACGCATGCGGAGATGCCAAAAGCGTTGGTATTTACACTCTCTAAGGCCGCTCAACAGAGTATATAAAAGCATTTCTTTCTTCAAGCCCGGGGACCTCTTCCAAGCGAAACCGCTTTGTACAAGTTGAGGCCCAGGAGTCACCATCACCCATCAACACTCTCTTCTCACTCCGCCGCATTTGTGACCCTCCAATCACCTCCTGCCCCCGCCTGTGCCCATTCTCAATTCGTTCGCAACAACTCAGCTCAGCCTGGAAGGCTGGCTTTCGTAATTTTTACCCTGCCGGCACTTCGCGTCTCCTAAATGTCCCATAGATGAAGCTGTGTGGAGTGGCAGCCAGCCCCCAGCAGGTCCAGATTCATGCACACTGGCACCTGAAGGTCTGAGTGAAGAGTACAGACTCAATGTTAAGTGGTCCGCTTGAAAAGGTCTTGCAAGACTGTCCGAGCTTCAAGTTCCCCCTTAGTTGCCGATATCATGACGAGATCAGCTAGATCCTCAATTGCGCGCTTTGATTGAAACGGAGTGGATTTGCTTTTTTGCCAAGGCCACAAAAGCCTGGCCGCTGGACCCACCGAAACTCTTACTTTGTAACTGTTCCACCTGCATCCAAAGCGTCTGAGACCGCTTTCGAGACCCCACAGGCCACGGCCACGCGGAGGTCCTGGCGAAGGATTTGGAAGTTTGGAAGGTGGTTCTTTCTGCAAGATTTGAATATGCGATAGTCACGTGACAAATAGTCCTATTACCGTCCAAAAAGCATGTTCCGTCACGCTTTCTCAGTCTTCACCCGTCTGACTTGAGAAGCATCCAGATGTTCAGTCTATGTGCTCAGAAGCTTCCCCACCTCTTGTGCACCCATTCTTGCTGCTGCGTGGCTGCGCCGCTGCGCGCCACAAGAGCCAAGAGTCTAGTTCAGAAATCGGATTAACATGTGCTCCATAGATAGAACCTATTCATCCCGATTTGGCTCGGATTGTGATTCGTGCGCAGCCCGTGTACTGCTGAAGTGCTGCCAATCCCCAAGCCAAGCCCTCTCTTGAGCTGCAATGGCCAGTGGACACAGCAAGCAGGCCCCTGCGCACGTCAAACGGGTGCATCGGAAAAACCCAAAGAATGCTGAAAAAAAGGCCTGGATCGGAGACCTGGATTTGAGAGTCGGCCCATGTTTGTACAGACCCATACAACCTGGTACTTGTAGTGCATTCTCTGGGTGCTGGAACTGTGGCTTTGGATCTGGCCATCCCACACGAATGGTCACCTGCGGCAAGAATGTTTGGACCGGAAAAAACTCTCATGAACGGCACCCATTCAAGAAGTGCAGGCCTTCTGCGGGTCGGTTGGATTCACGGTCACTGCATGACCTAAGAAACGCAAATGGTAGAAGTACCTAAAGCCGTTTCCAAACCTATCACATCCACAATTGCTCACATTTACACTCAACCTAGCGTAAAGACTGAAAATCTACTACTCCAAAGTTCAACTCCTTGGAAGGAAACTTGTGGCAATGCGAAGTCGCTCAGCTCCCAGCCAGAGATATACTCATTTGGCGCAGAGTTGTGATTGTCCAAGCGATCGGCCAAATTGAAGCGCCCCTGCCCATCCGCTTGGTGCACAGAACTTGAATGGTCGGTCACAACTTGGTCTGGTGTATGTTTGATCCAAAGCTAAGGTAGCGCACCCGTAAAACAGAAAGTCGCTCTTCATTGCAGACCTGAGAAAAGGCAAGATGTTTTGATGGACGTTTTTCTTGTTGACCGGGACGTCAATTCCAGGTCTAAGAGTCCAGCAATGATTGACTGTCCCGGAGCACAAATGAAGTTCTCACCTCAGAAAGGGTCAAGGGTCGCTCCCGATATGTGTAACCCCCAAAGAGACCACGCGAGAGGGACCTACACCAAGCTGGACGGGATGATTTGAAGGAAAGTGGTCCCTCCTGTCTTGCTTATGCATATTTGGTCACCGCTCTCATGGCTTGATAGACCAAGTTTGCGAACGCATGCCAAAACACTTGAGTCTCGTTGATCTTCCTACGGAGAGATCATAAATCCTAGTCTTTCATGACAAACAAATGTGCGGCAGACTCTAGACTTGACCAAGTGGTGGAAAGTCCAAGATTGACCAAGGACAACAGGTGGGTGAAGACCTCAAAACTCAAGACTAATTTTGCAGCGGCTCGCCTCTGCCTGCCCGTGGCAATCTACTCCAAACCGTGACGCGGACATCAGACCTGAAGCTAAGGACCAAGCCCAAGGTGATGAGGTCACCATCGGCAAGAGATGACGAGGCCTGGCAAAACAGCTTCGCTCAGCTTCGCTGGTACTGGTACTTGGATTCATGGTTCATGACAGTTGAAGCCTTAAGCAGGAAATCGCCCCAGCCTCAAATTCCAACTCTGTGGTGTTCTCATCTAGGACCGTCACTGCCTCATCTCGTAACAAACAGGCAGAAACGTGGAATATTCTCCGACCAAAACCCAAGTCCTTGGTGCACTCAGCCAATTTTTTGCCGGAAAAAATCCGCATTACTTGCGTGAAGTTTGCAGCCAAAAGGTCAGAAACGAAGTGTGCACTATGCATTTCTATGCGCATCTGCCCATGCCTCCGTTCCTTCCCCGCTCCACCTTGATGTCGTTGGTTCGGCAGTCTGCATTCTGATTGTCGCACATATAGGTATCGGAAGAGAGCACCCCAACCTGCGCTGGCTGTGAAGCGCCTCGCCTCCTTCAAACGATATCGACCGTTTTCAGCCGATTGATTCTCCACATGCTGCTTGAGCAGATTGGAGTCTCATATCTGGTCATATTTGTATTTTGCCTCAGAATCTCGCTTTTGGACAGCGGGAACCCAGACTCCCCCCTCCCACCGAAATGTCGCCGTTGAGCACCGCATTGACCTCACCCACCTGCGAATTCAGCGCACAGGGCCGCCATGCGACATGGAACGTCGGAAAGTTGGAAACTTTCGTAACAACAGGTCATTTCAAGGAGGTGCCCGTTGTTAGGTGACCGGTGACCTAGACATGGGAGCAAAGTCACTGGTTGTGCGGCAGATTCGACTATATAGTACAAACGACAACAGTGGCGACCACAAGAAAAGTATACGTCGGGGAGTTGTCAGGAGCCAAATCTGAATCTTGACCAGCCGAACTACCAGCCAAGCCCAGCCTCCGAGCAAGGATGTGGACATCCCACTTTGATGTTGGTGACCTTGATCACACAAACCAGTTTCGGGAGATCGGAGGTATGACGTTGGAGGCTTGGACGGCACTTGAAAAGCAAGCTTCGACTAGGCCAAAGCTCAATTCGCTCACACCATCCAACCGCCCATTCCCACACTAGGCCCCGTGGCCCCCCAGGCTGCCCGTGGGTTTCCATTCACATCCGAGCACTCTGATGCAGCTGGGATGATACGGATCTGGTCATCCTGCCGGCGGGAACAAAACATTGCAAATCCTTCACAATCTCCAAGACCTCCCATGTTGGAGGCCATCGCTAGCTGGTTGGAGGCCATCTCTAGTAGGTTGCGCTAGTAGGTTGGAGGCCATCTCTAGTAGGTTGGAGGCCATCGCTAGTAAATAAGTTGGATGCCATTGAAAATCCTTCAGAATTTCCAAGACCTCCCATGGCAGGATCGATTGAAAGGTTGGATCCTGGATCCAACCTTGGAGGCTGATTTCACATCCGGATCTTCAGGGCCGCTAAACTCAAGGCTAAACTTCTCCAACATTCCCGGATTTGAGGGATTCTTATGACAAGAACAAAACTGCTGAACAATGCTCCTTTGCTCGTGGCTCCCACCAACACCGCAGGTCTGCCTGCTACCATTTCGACAACAGCTTAGTGCCTTCGCCAAGCCCCAGCCAAAGTACTCAATTCGAAAGACGACCTGATCGCTCTCGCGAAGGCTCAATTTAGCAAGAGTTAGTATTGGTATAAAAGGTTTTGAAAAGGTTTGTCCAGTTTCTCCAAGAGACTCCACGCGTGCAGCTGCTCAAAACAAATCTACAGTAGATTGCGTTGCAGCATGGCATGAATTGTGTTGAATTGGCATAATCCAATGGTCAAAGACCCTGCAGTCTAGGCGCATTCGTCGAGACTGTCCAGCCTTGGGCAACACCACGACCATCTGATCACTGCAACATTCAACCGCAAGACTGCAACGCCGCACATCTATTTGAGGAATCGCCTATCCTTGCAGGTAAGGGGACATGACAATATTAGAAGCCTATAACTTTTACACTTATACAGGTGTGGGCAACTTGAAGTTACAGTGCGAACAGCATCAGAGAAAGTCTCTGGGCATCGTGGCTTTGTCCAGGCCCAGGTCCTCGAATGGTCATTCGATTCACCAAGACCTAAGTCTCCCAGGCTGCGCCATGTGTGCTGAATTTGTAGACATCTCAGTTTTGCTCAAAGGTCCACCTGTTTCGCGCTTCTAAGTCGTCGACCCATTGGTCATGTGCACAGACCTTGGGAATGCAGAAGCAAGACCGAAAAGGTCGTGCCCTCGGACATGAACGAGAGACCCAACTCAAGGAATGATGAAACAAACGGAAAAAAAACACCTGAAAATTTTGAAAAGAACATGTTGTCTATGTGCCTCACCTATTGCTTGTTTTGCAGCTTGCTTTTCATCTCTGTTCATCTACGACTCTCCGCTTCATTCGCATCTGCTCGAAACGGAGGCTCAGGCCCCTGGAGTGTCCAGTACCGGCCGCGCGCAGTAGCAGACGGAGATAAAGCCAGCCTCGCACCAAATTGGGAGACCATTCGGGGCAGCTAAAGGCAACCCCGTATGAGGTGGTTCTCAAATTCTTCATCAGCGAGTTCCACCGACCGTTTGCGAACATTAGCAAGTGCATCGCTACTAGTAACAAGGGCATTACTACTAGTAACGAGAAGTTACTAGTAGAGTTGCACTGGTTACTATGTTCTCTCCACCATTACAGCTATTTCACATGTATAGACCAGTCTGGCAAAGCTACCCGCACCTTAATCACAGTCATGGCCGTTGCCACTTGACCGCCATTGAACATAAGCCTGGCAAGTTGGATGACAAGAACAAGAAACTGTCTGGTGCACATAAATCCGCCCGCACCGAAGGTGCTGAGGCGTTTTTATGAGGCACGCGTTATACCGCAAGCACCGCAAGTATTAGCTAGGGGGGGGCATTTTCGCTCTAGAATCCTGTGTTTTTCACGTTTTTTGGAACCGGCTTAAAGTGCTGGAAGATAAATTCGTGCTAATGTTTGCTATCTTGAAGCCCAGTGATGCAAGAAATGCAATTGTCTGCTTTGCATCATCTGCATCATCTGAATCATCTGAGCGGTAAAGTGTAATTGGACTGAGGCCGGACATTTGGCTGAACAGGTTCCCCTAGCGGGGCTCAACATAGCTTCCATATTGCGTAACATAGCCCCAGAAGTCACTATCTAACGGACGTGTCTGCGAGATAGGGACTTGAACATCCGGGTACGTGGCTGGTCAGGAGCAGAGAGAAGGAAAGATAAGGTCCAGGAATGGTGGTCAGGAGCAGAGATAAGGAAAGATAAGGTCCAGGAATGGTAGCATTTTGTTACGAGCATAGCTTCCATATGATCGACCATAGCCCCCGAAGGCACTATCTCAAGCATGTTTTCTCGAGATAGGGACCCGAACGTCGCAAACACCCTCTCCACTTCCATATTGCCTAACATCTATTTGGCTCCACAGGAGCAGAGATAAGCAGATCAGGTCCAGGAACGGTAACATTCTCTCACGAGCATAGCTCCCATATGGTCGAACATAACCCCAGAAGTCACTATCTCAAGTATGCTTCGCCGAGATAGGTACTTGAACGTCGTAAACATGGCCCAACGAAGGCTCAAAAGGACTGGAATAGAGTGAAGATATTGCCTAACATAGCCCTAGAAGTCACTATCTAAAGGACGTGTCTGCGAGATAGGGACTTGAACATCGTAACTGGAATAAAAAACCCCCCTAACGTGGCCAAACATAGCTTCCATATTGCCTGACATAGCTTTAGAAGTGATATTTGGCTCCACAGGAGCAGAGATAAGCAGAGATCACGTCCAGGAACGGTAAGATTTTCGCACGAGCAGAGCGTGCATATGATCGAACATAGCACCAGAAGTCGCTATCTCAAGCATGCTTCTTCGAGATAGGGACTTCAACGTCGTAAACATGGCCCAACGAGGGCTCAAAAGGGACTGGAAAAAAGCCTGCAAAGTCACTATCTCAAGCATGTCTCCTCGAGATAGGTCCGGGTACGTGGCTGGTCGGGAGCAGAGATAAGGAAAGATAAGGTCCAGGAATGGTGGTCAGGAGCAGAGATAAGGAAAGATAAGGTCCAGGAATGGTAACATTTTCTCACGAGCATGGAAGCTATGTCGGGCCACGTTAGGAGAACACGTTACCGTTAATTGACCTTGTCTCTGCTTATCTCTGCTCCTGTTGAGCCGAATGTCCGGCCTATCTTGAGCGATCTTGAGCTACCTTGAGAAAAGATACATCAATTTGCGACGTTCAAGTCCCTATCTTCCTTTCATACTGACTCCCTTGGCTCCAAGAGCACAAGAACCTGTTCCAGATCGTGTTCCTTCCTGAAGCTCTCTCACCGCTTACCCGACCCGCAAAATGGCAGCAGTCTTTTAACCCCCCAACTACGATTACTTGAACAAGCATTCGTTGGGCCATCTTAAATCCCTATCTCGAAACATGGAACCTATGCTCGGCCACGTTGGGGAGGGGGAGGGGTCACTTCCGGGGCTATGTTCGGTGGAAATATTGGCCCCTTCCATGCGGTGCGGGCGGTTACCGTCGCGAAGCGACGTGAATAAGTTCTTTCAAGGTGTTCGTGCGAACTCACCTTCAGGGTCCAACCCAAATGAAAGTAAAGGTGCAGCAGCAAAAGCTGAACTACTATGAACTACTCTCAAACCACGCGGGCTCGACTTGTTCACATCTTTGGCAGGATCCATTGTACCAGCATAGGCTTGGCCAGCCTTAGCCCATCTTGATTTGCATTATTGACCTCATGATAGCCTTGTATCACTTTGTTGTGGGGCCGAGTTCATGATGATCCCATTTGTTGGGGTGTTCCTATGCACCTGTCACGGGATCTTCCTAGAAATCCTGAGGCAGAGAGCCATACATATATATTCTGACTCGTTGTCAGAACGGTTGGGCTCCCTGTCAGTGCTCTTCCTCTGGATGGCATGGTTGTTTGCGTAGCTTGTTTCGGGCGCCGGGCATTTTGCGAGGTGAGAGTGTTGGGATCCACCAGCGTTCGATCATACCTCAGGTATAGCAGGTCTTCCACCCTAACCTTCACAACACCAAAAGCTGAATCGAAGCAAATAAACCCACCAAATTGAGGGGAGGTTGTCTGTTCCATCTCAGAAGCAATTCCATTGGTGTCCTCTGGGGCGCACGGGGCAGTGACACAGCCCGCATCAGTCAAGGTCAGAGTAGGGTCTGAGACCAGCTTCAGGGCACCGCCTTCCTGGCGTCAAGAAGAAATCGTCAGTATGTCATAGATGCTACTAGTAGCAAGGACGCTACTAGGGGCTCCTGGCCTTACTACTAGTAACAAGAAGCTACTAGGAACAAGGGCATCGCTACTAGTAGCTTCTTGCTACTAGTAGTAAGAATGCTCCTAGTAGCGATGCCAGGAGCCCCTAGTAGCGTCCTTGCTCCTAGTAGTAAGGCCAGGAGCCCCTAGTAGCTTATTGTTACTGCCAGTATGTATTGTCGTGTTTTTGTTTCTTCTTGCAGCAAAAAGGAAATCCAACCACTTGGAAGCTCTCAATGACCTTCCTTTGACCGTTCTGCCCCGATGTTCTTAGAAAACCCGAAGCAATGAATGACAAGGGCAAGGAAAGCATGGCCTCAACCACCAAGCATCAAGTTCTTTTTTGCACTGCCATGTGTGCAGAAAGCAGTCTGCTTCTTCGGCTAGTTTCTTGCTTCTCTGACCTATGTCGCGCCACTACGGGAAAGCCTGAGACATTGATCAAGCAAAAGTCAAACCAGACTGACCGCCCTGGTCAATTTTGGCACCTGCAAGCCCATCACTCCATAGTCTACCTGGCCGTCAACTGCTACAAATCTGGGGCCCCACACACCCAGAATGCTCCATAGATTAAAAGCAAAACGATGCGTTGAGTAGTTCAATAGTTGACGTACTTTCTAATCTTGTCCGATTTCAAAACATATATAACCTTTATGTGTAGCCAACTCTTGAGTCTCGAGATTGGGGACAGGTCTCTGAGCACTCAAAGACAAAAGATCAGCGCCGCACCCATGGGCGATAGAAGCCAAAGGTGCCAGGCATATTCATGTACTCAATGATGAACTCCTCTTGCCTGAAGAGCACATTCACACCACTTCCCCACTTCAAGCAAGAGCTACCAAATTTGTGACCTGTGACTTGCTGCTCGCGCAGCTTTGTTTCGATGGTGATGACTTCAAACTCTAACCCCAATCTCTCTTGAAGCAATCGCACAACACTCTTCGTCCCGTTTCGTTTGGAACCTCCGTGGCCCCCATCCGGTCCGAGGGCATCACAAGACTGAGGTGTTGGACACACTGCTCACCAGTTGGAAGGGTGCAAAGCGAAGCTGACCCACCTGAAAAAATGAAATAGATAAAATAAATACAACTATAAAACTAACTCAAAAGAAAAAACAGTGCAGCAGCATCGGTCGACACCTCCGTCTTGATTCGTTCTTCAGAGGTCAAGAATTTCGCTTCGGAGCTTTAACAAACAGAAGAATCAATACGGAATTAAAAACATGCAATGTTGATCGATCTAAACTAGCAACGAGTTGCACAGCGAGCACTGAGGAATGGATTTCCCGCAGCCTTGAACCAATTGGATGAGGTGGTGCAGTCGCCGTCACAGTAGCAGACCTGTGGCTTTGGTCCATGCAGTTCACAAGCACTGCACCGAGTCATTGAATGGGGTTTTGTTGAAGCAAGTTTTGCATAAGGATTCTAAGACTTATGAGATTCTACTACTACGATATAACTTGGCATCTAAAGCACGGCTCTTTGAGCACATAAATAACACTTGTGCTTCACTGGTTCACTAAGCTCACTGCAAAGTTTGCGAACATCAAAAAAATATAGTTCTTCCTTTCATATGTTTAAGCACATCCCTGCTGTGTCCCCAGAGAGCCCCGCATCAAAGGTCTCGCCAGAGTAACGGCTGCGTAGCTCATGGTCCGTGGGGCCCGTCCTGGCATCAAGGGCCCACACAGACCTTCCCCCATTACTTTCCCATGAGGAGTGTTTGCTTTTTAAAAAAACACTTCGGAGAATGGGACAAATCTATATTTATATATACATTGCATTGTAATACGTCCTTTATCTTGTGTGTCTTGATACATGGGTCGAGATGGGGCGCAATTTACCAAAAACATACAAGTGGAACGATTGACTATTGATCTATGCTCCTGAGCCTGTCCCCACCCTCCACAAGGCTCTACCCAAACTGCAAACTTTTCGGCTGAATATCCAGCGGTACCTTCAGCTGCCAGAAGGATGTCAAGCGTCCACTGCCCATAATGACTTCTGGTATTTTGGTGGTCTTCACAAATGTGAGACAAGGACAACAAGCCAAGAGCTTGTCTTCGAGAAGATGAGCACTCGCAATCTGTCTGATAGTCCAATATTATCACTGGACGCCAAGGACGTCGGTCTGTCAGCGGGCGGTTTTGGGTCCCAGGATTCAACGAGCCGTCTCAACCGGGAGAGCTCTTGGGCGACTCATCCCTGGTCTTTTCAGCGACAGCCACGAGAGTCACGAGAGCTGATCTGGGTCAGTTTCGCCTCATTAGTTTCATTGCAAAAAGAATACCTAAAAAGCAAAAGACAGATTTCCAAACCTTTTGACTCAGACGGTCCTTAACTAGGTAGCGATTCAATCGGCCCATAAACCTCTCATGGAAAATACTTGCATCTTGAGTTTTCTGTACATTGAGAGTGTTTCTCCAGCTTGTTTACTTACATGTTACATGATATTAAAAAAGAAAAAGAGACATCCATTTTGGTTTCGGTGGCGTTGTGTGAACATGTGTGAACTATCTCCACTCAGGCATGAAAAGAGCTACAGCGTCTGCCCCAGAAACAGCTGCATACCAACGGCAAGCTTTGTACTGAATCAATTCGGTCAGTTCAATGGAAAAACAGACCATAATGAAAGAACAATGCGCCTTTATGGACAGACAAGCAATAAAGTCTGCTCCCAATCAAAGACAATGGGCTGATGCTTGGGAGCTGAACATGAAGTGGGTGGCACTTGAGCATTCTGTAAGCCCCTACGTCTACTTCATACTTGGCTCTCCTCATGTGTCTTCCACCAGCCATAGAAGGCACCCTTCCGACTTTGAACTGACCAAAACTGCAACTGCACCCTAAACAGTAAAGCACCCTGGATGGGCGCCACTGCAAGGACGTTAGCGCGCCACTGCTCCAATGTCGAGCGAATTTCGAGCAACAGCAAGTGGCAACCAAAAGCAAGAAAATGTTGACGAAACTGTTCAAAGGAGTGGCCCAAAAGATGTGCTGGAAGCCTAACCCAGTTGAGCCCTGCCCTAGTTTACCCAATATGTTCAATGGATTTCAATGGTCGCTATGGGCCACTTGCCCCTAGCGGCCCTAGCCAGTCATGTGTTGCGGCGCAGCATGGAGCTGCCGGCCGCCAGGCTGGGCCTACAATGCCGAAGAAGATGCATTCAAACAGGCAAAAAAAAAGTCTTGAAGAAATGAAGCGAGCATGGCAAACTGCAAAAAGTTGCTCGCTGCTTGAAAAACAGTCCTGGAATGGCCATTCTTCGCAAAACAAATATCCTTAAATCTTTCACGGACCCGTCGCAAACAATGTTCCTAAACGACAAAGTATCTATACACCACCAGGACAGAAGTTTTCTTCTTGAGGGCTCGAAAGTTAAAGCCCTGTCCCCTTAGAATCTTGTAAGACACTTGTGTCACCTCACGCGGTCAAAGTTCCTCCCTTCAAGCTCTTTAAGTTTATGTATTTATATTAAATATATAAATGTGTTGAATTTAAAAGGGGATGATCGAGATGGACTTCCTAGTTGGATCGTCACTGACTCATATAGAATGTTGTAAGAAAATGAAAAAAACATATAACAAAAATACACTGTCTTTCCCCTGAAGGAAATGACACGTGCTGGAAGGTTAGTTATTACCTTCAAATGATATTTTGCCAATATATATATATAGTATGTATATATATATACTTTCGCGCACTCCATCGCGGATCTTTTGCGAAGGGTTCAACAAAAAAACATGAAGGTCATTCTCTACAAAATATCAATGAAGGGCCGTAAATCAACTCCCAATTGTGTCCAAAGGCTGTTGCGGTATGCTTAACCCGCATAGTTGAAGAAACCGCACACGACTCGTTATGATGCAACTGCTTGGTCATGGTTTGATAGGTTTGCTAGCAGCTTCGTAGGGGTTGAATACGGGTTTCGCTGTATACAGCGAAACAAAGAACTTAGCAGCCTAGCAATGTTTTGCATGTCACTCTCCCCAGAGAAAAACGTTATGCACTTGACACCACCTCCCAGGCACGAGTCACAACGGAGTTACATAAGTTATATATATATATCCAACATGTTCCCGAAGCAAGTTACTTCAAGAAGCAAGAAGCATCAGCATCTTCGTTGTAATCACAACGAACATCAACACCCCCAACCCCACGCCCCAGTGTGCCTTCAGAGAAAATTGTCAGAACCACAACAAAAATAACAAAACAAACAAGACATTCCCAAAAAATCCAAAAAGGCTACCGGGCAACCTATCAAACCACCAATTACTTTGGTGCACATTTGGAAAACGGTGGTCTGAGCTTGGGTTGAAGGTCCTGAATCAACTCGTTTTGGCATGTGGTCATCATCCATCAGCTCAGCTGCCAAAGTGGCTTCTAATGGACTTCCAAAAACAGCCAAAATGTAGCTTGAAGATCGAGAGCTAGATAGCGGCGTCTGCGTGTGCATTTTGGCCCTATTGGCCTGCTTCGCTTCTTCTTGCTCATCTCGCGCTTCTCTTTCCATCTCCTCCTTTTCATCCTGCAGTGAACTTTTGGCGAACCAAACACATCAACCTAGACCAAACAATCGCAAATACCATCGCAGCTGAAAAGCAGCTCTCACCTGAACCTTGGAATCATGGAACCTTACCTCCAACTGATCAGTAGTCGAGTCACTGGTGAAAAATTGGCCGCGTTTAATTGACAAGAACCAGTGCGTTCCAGCCTCATCCACACCTCTCTGCAGCCATCCAGAGGGGACATGGTGCAGTTCATGCATTTCCTGGGTGTCACCAATGCTCACTGTAAGGCAGCAAGGTCACATCAAAGCAATCCACGACTTTGGGACGAAAAAACATCAAGCTCGACAAGGGATGAACATAGCAAACATATCCTTTGCGGATGCTCCATATGCATGCGTGGGGGGGTCCTTTTCAAGTCTTGCAAGAATCAGTGGACATTGTGTAGGTCCTCTGTATGTTCGATATGTGAAGTCGTCCGAATCTTTGAAAGGTCCCAATTCCACATGATGCTGACAACCAACACTCGAATAAATTGACTACAAGCTTGGAGCTTGCGCAAAAAGATTTTGCAAACAACCAACCATTGAGCCGTGCATGGATGCGTCTGGAAAGCAAATCCAAAAAGTAATTACATTCGACTTTAAGCTACCTGTGTTGCCTATGCCATGTGGATACCTAAAGGGGGCTTCAATTCGAATTCCAGCTGTGGCGCGCACCTCTCAGGAACCAATGCCGTGTCTTAAATTTAAATCTAAACCCCCTCCCAGCTCACCACCAGCGCGCCTTTTTTGCAAAAGAAGTTCAGTCTTCACGCTGGGTCTTGACGTTTGCCAAGGCAGCAGTCGCTTCGTAGTGGTTCCAAGCGACATAGGCCAGTACGACCTCTGGCCCCCAAATCTCCTCCGAAACTGACTCTGGAGGAAGAAACTTGCGATCTATCTCTGGGTTTTCCCCAATGACCTGCACTGGCCGGAGGAACAAATGCGCTGCTGCTTGCAATGTGCATTCGTCCCCATAGGAGCCATCCACTTCCATGTGCGCAACATATGCCTCGAAGTTGCCCCAGCGAAGGTCGAACAAGGATCCGAAAAAGTCTTTCATTGCGAGCATATATTGGCAAATCTGTTGTCTGAGCTGGTCATGTAGAATTGGAGCATTGGCTGAAAATGCGAGTGCGATAAACTGGCAATTGCCATCCATAGGAGTAGACAACCTCTCTAAACCCAGCGGCTGCAAGCGGGCGGTAACAGCAGCTTGGCTCACAATGAGAGCATCTCTGGCTTCCGCGCTCTGCTGGGAAGACACTTCTAAAGCCAGGTTCAATTGCTCTTGCTCCCAGTTGTCCTCAGCACGGCCGCGGGAAAAGCGGTGCTGCTCGTCAGAGATCTAGGAAAACAGTTGTGAAGGGTTTATCTACAAAAGCATTTGGGATTTCAATTGCCTCGTCAGAAAAATCGAACGTCCAAAGAGGAAGAAAACTAAGTCTTGAAGATGATGCCTCCATGACTCTACAGCCTTTAAAAAAACCTTCGACACGGCATCACAAATCTTCTTCTTCTTCTTCAAGGCTGACCACTCCTGATAGTGCTGCTTGCAGTAGTTTCCCACAACGCGCTTTTTGCGGCAACGTCGACCTTTCGAAGCAGGAGCCAGGCATAGGATATCCTCCTTGTCTGAAGCGCCAAAACAATGCAAGAATGCTGGCTCACTCGACACCACTGCAATACCCGGCATGTAGTTTTCCCACCTGGATTCCTCTGGCTCTGCCTTGACTGGCGCATTCAACGGATCTGGCGGGGCCAGCATGGCCTTTGTTTTTGCTGACCGGCTGGCGCGTGCCTTGACTGGGAACATGTTTCCCATTACTCACCGGCCTTGGAAGGAGAATGCTGCGCAAAAGCTTTAGCATGCGCCCTCTTCAAGACAGCCGTGTTCTTGTTCTCTGTGTGCTGGCCAACTGCTTCAACCTGGAGCTTGTTGTCTTCAGTCCATGAAAAGCAGTGCTGGTAAGAGCAATCTTGGCAAGCAAGACACCGAGCTATCAAGGTTGCTTTCCCATTGTGAGAGGAGTTGGTGAGAGTCTTGTGAAGAATCTTCTGAGAGGAGAGCCACTTTTGCCCAGCCACCCGAAGAGACTCTGACTCAGGCACATCCACC